TCTGGACCAGGTGTATGAAGTGTTTGGATAACTGGTTCATGTACGAGTAGTCTAAGTGGGTTTTCTTTGCTGAGGGGTTGGAGGTTTAAAGGCTTATCTTGCACAGCTGACAAATGACCAAAGACACCCTGGAGGGCTCACTGGTGGTAACTGAGCTTTCTTTGCTGTTGGCCTTTAAAGATGTGCTGCTGGGAGCAAAGCTGTTGATTCTGTTTGGGTTACTTTACACCAGTCCTTGCATTTTGACTGCTCCCTCTTTTAGCTCTGATTTGTTTCTGAGAGGAAGAGGAGGGGTGGGATGTTGGCTCCCAGCTCATACCTTGCTGTTCCTTACTCAAGCAAGGTAAGTTACATCCACGCCAAGCCCAATGCCACATCACTAGTGGCGACCCTCTGCGGATTAAATGTGTCACTTCTGAATAAGGAATTCCTGAATACTGTTTGTTGGTTCCTGAAAGGTGGAAGCAGACATTATGCCCTCAGGTGAGGGTACAGGTGGCTACAGAAGGAACAAGGTTGCTAGGAGGCATGAAAGTGCACTGAGTTGCCCCTGGACATTGCTGATCTAAATGGAGCGTAGGAGGTCTCAACTTTACAGGTGGTATGCAGACTGCCAGGGAAGCAGTAAGTGCTGGGCTGTTCCAGCAATCAGATGCAATATTTCTATCGAAAAGGACAGACCACTGACCTCTTCCCCTTCCACTGCAACGGTAGTGATGATGTCAGGTATCTCTATTGTTGCCTGATTCCAGATTAGCTAGGGAGATCATCCTGCCCCAAAAGAGCACTGCAAGATGTACTGTTCCCTTATAATAAATTTGTATCAAAGCAGTCTTCCTGCATCAAGAAGACAAAATGATCCAAAGATGGGAGGATGGCTGGAGCCAAATCATTGTGCAGCCAACGCCTAAGCTAGAAAACTTAATCCATTTTGAGTTAGTGCTTGATGTTTGAGAACATCAGACCAACACTATCCAGGGATGGACGCCTGCAGAGGCCACAGGCTTATTGATTCACAACTGTCTTACTGAACTCATAGCATATTAAAATGATGGCAGTGCATTTGAACTTTCTCTTCTAACTGTAGGCATAGATATGCACTTATTAATCATACTCTGTTCCTATGCAGGACATCACATCTCCCTCAAACAGTCTATCCAGCTTGTCTCCTATCTGATACTCATATTTCACAATTTTCTCTCCACTATCGAATGCCTTACTCTTTCAGGACCAGATCCATTGTAAACAGGGGCAGCACACAACGAGCCACCAAGCATTCACTTCACTGTATACAGAAACGGATCATAATTTAGAATCAGCTGGACTAGTTATTATGAACACAACTAAAAGCTCTGCTAGAGTTAATCAATTATCTTGATTTGGCATAAGGCCACACTGACCCTGAAAGGCACAGTATCACTCACCCTTGCT